TGAGGGGTGGGGTACAGAAGAGCGATTCATGGACGTAAAAGAGGCAGGCAGACACAAAGGTAGAGAAAAGGGTAAGATGTGTACTGTGAAAGGGGTCGAATATGGTAAGGAGTCGGGGCATGGTAGTTTGAAGTCAGAAGTCAACTGCCGCTTAATAGACTTTTTGCCGTATGAGTATACGTTACCCAGGGTGCACCACGTGGAGGTAAGTCTATTGCGCACCCCGTCTTGTGGATATTAAATCCAATTTCTCATAATTTTAAGAGGAAATGTTGTCAAGAAAGAGCTTTAAAGTGCTTAATGACTTATTATCAAATATTTATTTATTTATATCAAATGGCAGGCTTTATGATAGTTATCATAAGCCCTTTAGTTGACTTCAGTCTCCACAGAGGAAGAGGAACATCAAAGTGAAAAAGTCGAGAGGGGGGGGGTGAACAGAAGAGTGTTTTAAAGTTGTAAAAGAGACAGACACAAAGGTAGATGAAAGGTGAGCTGAGTATTGTGGAAGTGGTTGAATATGACATACAGTGGGGTCATGATAGCTTGAACTCAGAAGTCAACTGCCGGTTTATAGAATTTTTTGCCGTATGAGTATACGTTACCCAGGGTGCACCACGTGGAGGTAAGTCTATCGCACACCCCTTATTATCAAATATAAATTTTAATTAATTGTGTGACTGTCCCATTGTGTACAAGTGTAAAGGTAAGATACACCATTCAATGCTTCAATGTTAACTGTTCGCGTGGGAGCTGGAGAGAGAAATTGGCATTTGATTGGAATGAAACACATTAGAGTCATTCTCACGTGTTATGTAATCACATGATTTACGGGAAGAAGACTGATTCCAACGGAGATTTCCAAATTGCCTTACTTCGAGACAGGGTAAGTGCATTCAAAGAGTGTCATTCTCGATACTAGACAACTGAAAATATGGCCAAGTGGCAGAACAGATTTAATGTTGAAAAAGTGATATAATGGATGAAAATCGATATGCAATTTAATTGCCTGAATACATAGAACAGGCTGGTGGGTAAGAAAAATATTGTCGAATCTATAATTGACGGTGAATAATCCTCAATACGACCATTGATTCGGGTAACATCAAAATGACCTAATCGTGATGAATCTATTCCAACTCACCACCGACTATGTGTTGAATACATCTTGCTTTGCTTGTCCATTCAAATGACTATAAAATGCTTTCCTCATCACGAGTGTTTTTGGTACTATGATGCTGTTAATATTTCAGGTGCTGAATTACGTCTACTGGCAAATATGCAATGAGCTTTTCTTCATCAACACTATCCCACAGGTCGCTGCCCTTGGTCCTCAAGTTGATGTACAACAGGAGGTGAATCTATCGGAATCTTGTCGAGCTCACCAGACCGTTAATACCGATTGCCAATTAATCAGTCTTGCCAATGACCTACATGACCCGATACTTAAAAGTCTCCTCACATGCAGACCTGGGAAACCTCTGAAGAAACACTTCTCCGATCAATGCGAAGCCTGTATGCGAGGAGTCTGCTGTGTTCCGAATTCGTCCAAAGTCACCGAAATTAGCCGTGGACCACGTGTACAGCTACACGAACCCCATATTCGTCATCGTAGACAAAATCCCAGTCCTAACAAGATTGATAATGGCGGGGAGGAGGAGAGCGTTATCTCTGAACAGAAGGTTGAAACTGCGGCTTCTGTTGAGAGTGAACAAGTGGAGCAGAGCATGGCCAAACTATGCCTCAATGTGCCTACAAATCGTACACAATTTGGATTGACTGGATCACCAGACAAGAGAGGAGGAGACGACGTTGCCTTCGGATTATTGAGGGTGGGAGAATGGTTAGAGAACACGACAAAAACTCGGGTTATGAAGAGGTGGAAGTCGTGCGGTGATCTTGTGGCAGCTTATGAAGAGATGACCGCGAAAGAAATACACTGAGCTCATTTTACTACACAATATAACTGGTATTTCGTTTTTATCTCGTTTGGTATTTACAATCAAGAAGACGTTACATAAAGTACTTTTCTATCAAATACTGTGTTTTCAGATCACCACTTCCACTGTTGAAAGTGAGGTGGGTATGAGGAGGAGGGAGGGGGGGGGGGGGGGGGGGGGGGGGGG